GCCGGCGGGTGCGGAGGCGCCGGCGGGAGCTGCGCGGGGGCAGCGAGGGAAGGGGGGCGGTGCTGCCCCCCCACCCCGTGTTTGTGGGGGTAAGGGGCTGGTTGGCAGTGAGGGGAGGCAGCCCCGGCTCTGTGCAGCAGGATGAGGCAGCGGCGTTGCAGGCACCTCCTGGTGCAGCTGGAGCAGGTGCTGCAGCTGCTGGAGCTCAGCAGCAGCGTCGAGGAAGGTGGGTGTAGCCCCTGCGGCACCCTAGGGTGCTCCATGCCTGCCTCAGCTGCAAGCTCCCAGTGCCTGTCTGCTGCTTCCTGCATGGGGCTGCAGGAGCTCGGGGCTGGAAGCCTATTGCTGACTGGCCACCCACTCGTGTCCCATGCAGACTACATCCAGATTGTGCGAGGCTTCGAGGCGATACGGCAGAAATGCTGCCGCCTGGAGCAGGACCAGCGGTGGGCCCGCGAGCAGCTGGCCTGCGCCGAGGCCGAGCGCGCCGTGCTCGAGGTGAAGCTCAAGCACGCCCGCAACCAGGTGGAGGTGGAGATGAAGAAGCGGCACCGGGCAGAAGCTGAGCTGGAGAGACAGGTCTGTGCGGTCAGCAAAGGCTTTGGGGATGCTCTGGGGGGTTGGGTGTGGTGACACGGGAGAGCTCGTGTCACAGGCCTTGATCGCTGCCCCTTTGCGCCCGCAGGAGCGCAGGCTTCAGCTGATCTTCGAGCTGCTGCTGCAGGAGCCGTCGGGCAGCGCCATCCTGGGTGCTGAGCAGCGCTCCATCCTCAGCACCCTGGCAGGCCGGCACGTCAGGAGGACCCTGGCACCGGGCAGGAGGTGAGCAGAGCTGGCTGGGCCGTGGCCATCGGTAGGATGCACCCGCAGCCTCTTCCTTGGGACAGGACATCCTGACTGTGGCCCTGGCTCCTGCCCCATTGCTGCACATCCCTGCCCCTTAGGCAGCCCTGGGCTCAAATCTTCTATCTCCTTGTTTCTGCTGGGCTTGAAGCCTTGAAGCGAGGGATGGGGCCAGGGCTTGTTCTGCAGCAGTGGCTGGGCCTTACAGAGGCATTACTCGTTGCAGTCCTTGGGTTTGCAGAAATACTCATGCCAAGAGCCGCTCGGCTGGGAGGGGAGGCATCCTCTGTCTGTGATGACCCCCTGATTTGCCCAGCAGGTCATCAGCAGTGGATGAGTCGTGCCAGTCGCTGCTGTCCCACTCGGACATCAGCTATGACCGCACTGATGATGATGTGGTAAGGAAGGGTGTACTGCTCGGTCAAGGGCTGGCTTCTTCCTGCGCTGCATCCAGGAGCAGTCTGGCATGGAGGGAGCGGTTCTGCCTCGCCCCTGCAATGATGCAGTCCCTTTGCCTCGGCTAGGGGCAAGCAGGAGACTTGCTGCCCCCAGATGCCCTGCCCTGCTGAGCAGGGATGCTGGGGGCACCCGGTGCTGCCCTGCCAATTGCCAGGCTCTCTCCTGCCTTTCAGGATGTTGACACAACGGTGGTGAAGACCCTGAAGCGCAAAGCTCAGGAGAGGCAGGTACGAGGGAGAAGTGGGGACGTGGTGGCCTGAGCGTGCCGAGAGCAGCACTGAGCTGACATGGGTGAGCAGGTCCTGGGAAGGTGCCTGGGTCTGCTCTGCTCCCCACGCTGTGGCTGAGGGCTCCTCCTGATATGTGCCCCACAGAGCCAGGGTGCAGCCCAAGCTTACAGGGCCAGGGCAGGGCACGTTTCTCAGACCCTGCATGGGAGGCTGCAAAGAGCCCTCCTGGCAGGGGGTTTAATTTATTGATGCTGAGCTGGGAGCGTCATCTCTCAGGAAACCTCCCGCGATCAATAGAAACTCCATTACCCTGTGCCGCGGCCCAGCCGGGCTCCTCAATAATTCATCCCCATGTGCAGGCGTCCCACATGCTGCTCCGCTTGCTCCTCCGCATTGCAGGCCTGGCCTGGCCTGCCCCACCACAGACATGGGCAGGGGGGCTCGGTGCCCTGTGGTGGCTGCTGGGGGGCAGGCGGTGAGAGCGGGACCCTCGTGGGGCTGAGGCTGTGGGGTTTGGTGCTGGGTGCATGGCTGCTGAGGGCAGAGGGGAGGAGGGCAGCCCTGATCACTCATCTGCTGTGTCCCCAGCGGGTGTCCCTGGCCCCTCAGATTGGCCCCGTGGTGGCGGCAAAGCGGCACCGTCCTTCAGTGACACCCCTGGATGCTGTGAGTAAGGACCTGGTCCCCTGGGGCAGGGCTGGGCCCGGGGTGGAGCAGTGGGCAGGGCTGCACCCCTAGCCCTGGTGGGTGCTGTGGTGCCCGTGGGTGCCAGTGCCCCACAGCCTGTATCCCCATTGGAGGCAGGGCCCCGGGGCTGTGCGAGGATTCAGCTGTGGGGGGTGTTGCAGCCCGTGGGTTGCGGCTTCCTCCTCACCCGCCACCTCTGCAGGCGACTATCCCCACCGCCCCGGTGCCGCCTGCCGCCCCGGTGCCACCCGCCGTCCCAGTGCCGCGCCGCCGCTCCCGCCAAGGACAGCGCCTCTCCACACGTGCAGGTCGTGGGGCGCTGGGGAGGGCGGGGGGCTCCGCATGTCTGTACATCCCTGTGCCCTGTTGGGCATGGGTGTGGGGTGCGTCCGTCCCTGGGGAGGGCACAGAGCCCCTGGGGGCCGCTCCCTCGTGCTGCGGTGCCGCTGTGGTCCTGCGGGGCCTCGGCTGCCCCGGCAGCTTGCCCAGCAACCTCCTGGGGCCCGTTTGCCCTCTGGGACCCCCCTCCACCACCTCCTCTCCCGGCAGAGCTGACCGCAGTGTGGGGCAGCAGCGAGGACCAGGGCCGCTCTGCACCCGGGCAGGAGAGCCGCCCCGAGGACAGCTCTGCAGGGCCGCCTGCGCCCGCCCCTGCCCCCTCTCCTCCCCGGGGCCCCCCACCATTGCAGCATCAGTTCACCTCCAAAACGGTGCGTGCCCCATCCCTCCTCGTCCCCCTTGGAGGACGTCCTGGGCAGGAAGAGGCAGTGCGGGAACGGAGGCCTTGACCCTGCTCCCCCTCTCCAGATCATCCGCCCGGAGCCGTGTGCGGTGTGCGGCTCCCGCATCCGCTTCGGCAAGGCGGCCTGCAAGTGCTGCCGCTGCCAGCTGCTGGTGCACGCCAAGTGCCGCGAGCAGCGCCCCGGCCCCTGCGTGCCCGGCCTGCGCCCGCGCGCCTGGCCCCGGCAGGTGAGCGCCGCTGGGGGCTCCACGGCTGCCCGGGCAGCGAGGGGGCCCGAGCTGCCGAGAGCAGCACGCTGCCCCTCTGCTCACTCGTCGTCCCCAGGGTGTCCTGGCGGACTTTGCGCCCTCCGTGCCGCCCCTGGTGCCCGCCCTGGTGGTGCAGTGCGTGACTGAGGTGGAGACGCGAGGCTTGGCGGAGGTAGGGGCAGCTGCAGCGGGGCTGCCGGGCGTCCCGTGGGGCTGCCGGGCGTCCCGTGGCTCTGCCGTGCTGCTGAGCCCCTTTTCTCCCCACCCGCAGACGGGGCTGTACCGGGTCCCGGGAGCGGAGCAGCTGGTGCGGGAGTGGAAGCAGCGGCTGCTGCGGGCCGGGGAGGCGCCGCCGGCGCTGGGCGCCGTGGCCGACGTGCACGTGCTGTGCGGGGTGCTCAAGGACTTCCTGCGGGGCCTCCAGGAGCCGCTGGTGACGTTCAGCCTGCACGCGGCCTTCCTGCAGGCCGCCGGTGAGGGCCGCGCGCGCAGGGCGGGCGCGGGGCCGCTCCTCCCCGCCTGACGGCTCGGTGCCGCCGCAGACATCCCGGACGAGGCCGCCTGCAGCGCGGCGCTGTGCCACGTGGTCACCAAGCTGCCCCCTGCCAACAGGGACACGCTGGCCTTCCTCATGCTGCACCTGCTCAGGTGACTGGGGCTCCTCCTGGCACCCATGGGTGCCCCTTGGCTCCCGCCAGCACGCAGTGGGGGGCAGTGCTGCAGGTTGCGCTGCCGTGCCGGGCGCTGAGCCGCTCTCGTCACCCCTCGCAGGGTGTCCTGCAGCCCTGCCTGCAAGATGGACGTGCTGAACCTGTCGCGGGTGTTCGGGCCCACGCTGGTGGGGCACGGCTGTGCCAACCCCACGCCGCTCGCCATCATGGAGGACACGCCGCGGCAGTGCAAGGTGAACACGGTCCCAGTGTCCGGCTGGGCTGCGGTGCTGCCAGCCCCTCATCCACCCTCCTTCCCTGTGCAGGTGGTGGCTCGGCTGCTCTCACTGCCGCCTGACTTCTGGAGCCGCTTCGTGGGCACGGAGCGGGACACCCTGGCCAGCCTGGCCCCGGGCAGCGAGCGCGGTGAGACACGGGCGTGCGCGCGGGGAGGCTGTCCCGGATGTCCCACGGGGCTGCCGCGCGAGGGGCTCTATCTGCTCTGCTAGATTGCCGTCCCGCTGAGCCGCTCTGCGCCATGCCCTCCGCAGCGCCCACCACGGGGCGGCTGAGCCCCGCCGGGACCTGCTGCCTCCCCGGCACGCTGCGCAGCTGCGTGGGCCCGGCCCGCTCCCCGTGAGTGCCGCCGCGCAGCAGGGGTGGGCGGGCAGCGAGCGCGGCACCCTGACTCATCTCCTCTCCTGTCCTCTCCCGCGCAGGCAGGGGCCTGCCCCGAGGAAAGCGGGGAGGTTCTTCCTCTCCCCCGTGTAGTCGGCGGCAGCTCCCCAGGGGCCCGGAGCAGCCACGGAGGAGGAGCGGAGCCTGCGGGACCAGGCGCTGCGCCGGGCCCACGTGTGAGCCGCTGCTGCGGGTGGCGGCCGCGGGGCCCTGCTCTGCTCTCTGCTCCCGCGGCTTCGAGCGTGGGGACAGGGAGCAGGGCCGGGCGCTCTGTGCAGCCAGGGGCTGGCCGAGCGCTGTACTTAAAGGCTGGCTTGTATTAAACGTTTGCAGCAAAACCAGCGCGGTTGTGACTGATGGTAAGGAGCTCGCCCTCGGAAGCAGGGCGCTGCGCGAGTGATGGGCTCAGGAGCTAGAGGAAGGGATTCGCAAAGCAGGGGCCCGTTGTTGCTTTCTACCAAGGGAGTGCAAGGCCTGGGGGCTTGGGAGGAGGCAAGGTAGCAGGGCTTGCTGGCACGATGAAGCCTCGCCTGGCTGCTTGTACCCCTACCTGCACCAATGGGACCACAGTGGTAGTAAAAGCCAAGGCCCTCCAGATCCCTGCTTTTGGTGGTGGGCAGGATTGCTGGGCTCCAGGCTGTGGCTGCAGAACACAAGCTGGGCCCCCCTGCCCTGTTTTGGTGAGCGGGATGGGAATGCAGGTTAGAGCGAAGCCCCCCTCTCCCTGCCCTAGAGCCCTGGATGTGAGAGGCCCCTGTTCCAGCCCAGATGTTCTGCCCTTAGCAGCAGCTCTGATTACTTAAGCTCCTTGGCCCTAAGTGTTTCCAGACTTCCTGGCACCTCAGCAGCAGCCCCTTTAACTCCTTCCTTGCCTCCAGCCCCAGGAGACGTAACTAGCACTGGGAGGCACAGACCGCCCTCAAAGACATGGAAAGCAGCATTAAACAGGAATGGAGTGTGAGGGTCTGGCCAGGGCTTGTCTCATGTAACTTAGTAGGAGGAACCATATCACTAAGAGAGCTTAGACACAACAGGCCTTTTGAAATGGGGATGGCCAACACCATGGCCATGTCCAGCAGCTCAATACCCTTTGTGCTAAAATCCAGGACAAATGTGGAATAGAGAAAAGAGAATTCAAGCACGGTCCTGAATGTGAGCAAGTAACTTTGGCCGAGTTTCACTCTGTGACAGGAATGCTCACTCGAGGGCAAGGAAATTAGCACATCCAAGGCAGAGGCAAAACTGAAGCAGTTTAATGTGCTTAAAGTCAGGGAACAGCTAATCCCCACCCAGGACCACAGAAGAACTGGCACAGGAATGTGCAGGGCTGGGAGCAAGGATTTACTGCAAATCCACAGAGCTGGGCGGGTAGTGGATGGATGCAAAATCCCGGCTGCGGTGCCTAGCTCAGGTGAGAGGCGGGATGGGGGTGTGCAGCAGAGCACAGGGCTCTGGCAGAGGAGGAGAAGATGCAGATAAGTGGAGAAGTGACAACCCTGGCTGCTGTAGTTGGAGTGTGCCAGGCTAAGCAGGGACTTGCCTCTGATAGAACAGGATTTTCAAGATGCAGGCAAGGCAGTAAATCTCTGCCACCCGCACATACCTAAAACAATTGCTCAGTGGGAGAGGGAAAGCAGGGCTGGTGGGATGGGGACAGGCCCTAAGTCCCCAAAGCTCCAGCAGTGCTGGTGGGAAGGAGGCTCCTGGCTCACCCCTGGGCCAGGGGCCTGCTGCCATCTCCCTGAGCTTTGCACAGGTCTGAGCCTGACGGGACCAGGCTTTGCAGCACTGGCACCTTCCCTGGCAGCATTCTGGGCCGCGGGCAGTCCTGGGGGCCAGGGTGGTCTACATTAGCACCCTGGTGAGGGTAGCTATGCAGACAGCTTGGCTGGCAGCAAAGTGTTTAAACCTCTGCAGCTGCCTCCAAGGCCAGCAGCACTCTGAGAGCACCCACGTGTCTGACTTGGCCCTCTGGCACCAGTGCCCTTGGGACACCCTTGGCCTGCTCTCAGTTTTCGCTGAGACACCAGGGGCCCAGCAGGAGCCAGCCTGTAGCTGTTGCAATCTCGCTGTTGAAATGGGGCTCTTGAGAACAGCCTGGTGCAGGGTAGGCAGATCCAACCTCCTCTGTGCTCTGAAGAGATGGGCCAAGACCTTCCAGGGGCCAGCAGACAGCAAGTGCCACAGCACGTGGAAGGCGAGGCCAGGGCTACTTCATCCTCCCAGGCAACTGGGTGCTGGCAGGGCCCTTAAGTAGAGAAGCAGCCCAAGCTTACAGGCTCTGAGCTGCTGCAGGCAGTGGGTGCTTCAGCCCCGGGCTCCCTACGAGCTGGAGCGGCGCTCTGCCCTGCGGGCACCGTGCTGCTGCCACGGCCTTCACCCTGCCCCAGGGCAGGCCCCCGGGCTGCGAGGGAAGCGGCACACGAGGCGGGCGCACACCGGCTTTAATGTCTGTCTGCAGCAGGAACGAGGCACTTGGGCTCCTGGCCTGCATCCCGCACTCGGGGCAGGAACTGCGGGGCCTCCAGGAGGCAGAAACCTCTTCCGTGCGGCACCTCAGGGAACCTGGGGCTGGCACGAGCAGTTCCAACGAGGCGAGTGGCCAACTCACAGGATAATCTGGTTCTTATAGCTGCGGCTCAGCTCCTTGTGGGGCAGGACAATGGAATTGAGGATGACGACCTCAGCAGGGATGGTCACGCTGCAGCCTGCAGGGAGAGGATGAGGGGGGTCAATAAGAGGAGGAAAAGAGCTCTGCCGTGTACAGGCAGGGCCAGGGCTGCTGAGTGCAGGAGGCAGAGCCTAGGACCTACCCAGGATTGTGATGGAAGGTGTCAGTCGTCCATCCCGAAAAAGCGTCTCACTGTCGATCTTAGCATAAGGATCGTTGGGGTTGGGGTCACTAGGTGTTCCCTCAACCCGAGCCCAGCGCCCGATGGTGCTGTCCCAGCCCACAATGGTATTGAGAACGCAGGTGTGATCCTGGCGGGGAAGAGAAAGCAGTGGTAAATGAGGGGAGCTGCCCCATTCCTAGGGTCTGGGGTGCAGACATGCCCCGTAGACAACCCTACTCACGTGCAGCGTGGCCCCGTGGAGGACGATGGACTCGCGTACGCGCACACCAGCTCCCACCGTCACCCCCTTCCCAATGGAGACATTGGGGCCCAGCTGTGAGGACAGAGGGGTGCGAAGAGGCTGAGGACAGTGGTGGCCTCAGCCTGCCACTGTAGGTGACACTGAACAGCACTGCCCTGAGGCCACACGGCTGCAGCGTCCCCCAGGGCTGCACTCACCACAGCAGTGCTGTCGATAGAGGCTGTGGGGTGGATGTACACGTTCCCTGCAACACAGAGCATGTGCCTGAGGGCAGGCAGCTTCCAGGAGCTCCCATCTCACAGAGCTAAGACCCACCACAGATGCCACTTGCTCCCCCTCCTGCTCTGCCCTCTCCTGGGCAGCTGCCAGGCACTAGCCAAGATCACTCCGGGCATCACAGGGACACCCCGGGTCCTACCTCGAATGATGGGGCCTCCAGGTTTGTTCTGGGCCAGCCTCTCTGGGTGGCACTGGCTGTACTGGTTCAGGTAAAGGCGGCTGGCATAGATGGCAGAGCTGAGGGAGGAAAAAGCAAGAAACTTCCCTTGCTTCTCTGGCGCAATGCTCTGAACAGAGGAGCTGCCACCCCCACACAGCCCCAGAGCCCTGCCTAGTTATTTGCCCTCCTCTCCCAGCCCTGGTGCAGATCACTCTGCCCTCCTGCTATAGCAACCCTGGCTCCAGGCCTCACCCAGCTGATTTGATCTGGCTCCAGAAACCATCAGTTTTGTAGACGTAGAGTTTGCCGCTCCCAGCCAGGGCCGTGAAAACGTCCTGCTCCAGCCGGATCACTTCTGCACGCTGCCAGCCATTGGAGTTCTCCTCTCTGCAAGCAAAGTGCCCCTTAGACACCCATGGCAGCAGGGCCTTGGCCAAGGGGGCCGGCAGCTACCCTTTCCAGACCAGGAAAGGAACTTTTCCAGACCTTTCCCATTTCTTTGGCAATAGGGCTCCTCTTGGATTCCTTCCTAGCCACGCATCCCTCCCCAGAGGAGGGGACAGCCCCAGCTGCCAGGCCAGTCCTGCCAGCTCTGCTGAGCCCCAGAGCAGCAGTCAAGGGGACAAGGCCTCGCCACCTGACCTGTGCTCGGAGCCAGACCCCGCAGCACGAGAGCAGCACCCAGCGCAGGGTGCTCAGGTGACAGGTCTTGTCAGCTGTGGCCACAGAAAGCTCTGCACTGCTGGATTTACACTGAGGTGGTGGCAAAGATCTCGGGCCAAGTAAGAGGGAAAACTGCTGGCCAGGGAAGCAGAGTGTTCCCTATTGAAAGGCTCACTTTGTCCTGAGCTGCATGAGGATGGGACGGAGGGAGGGAAGGAAAGCAGTGGTGGGGACTGCTGAGACTGGGGCTGTGGAGGTAGCCAGGAGAGGAGCAGCGCAGCAGGGGAGAGGCACAAGCAGCAGCCTTGCAGGGCAGTGAGGAGAACATGCAGTACTGCTCACGCGACACAGCGCCCAGCAGCCAGCACAGGCACAGAGGGAGACTTACCCGAGGTAAGGGCAGCTGGTGCAGGACCAGGAAACGAGTGAGTGATGGCAGAGGACGAGAGAAGACAGAGAAAGAATGGAGGATGAGTGTGCCGCTGCAGTGCCGGGAAGCAGTGGGGCGGGCGGGATGCGGGCGGGCAGGGGCACTCACAGCACGAGCTCCTGCTGGTTCCTCTGGAAGACGTCGCCGATGTGCTGGAAGATGGAGGGCGTGAACAGGTAGATGCCGCAGTTGATGATCTCGCTGACGAACGTGCTGGGCTTCTCCACGTAGTGCAGGACCTGGAGGCGGGGGAGAGGCGCGAGTCCGCCCGTGCACGGCCCCAAAAGCCTCTGGTCGGGCCGCACCGTGCCAGGCTCCCCGCCGCACCTCGTGCGTGTCCGCGTTGGCCACGATGCAGCCGTAATTCAGCGCCTGGGTCCTGTTGGCCTGCGGGGACAGGGGGACACGCGGCGTCGGAGCGCGGTGCCGGTGCCGTGGGCGGGCGCCCGTGGCGCCCGGCTCACCGTGGTGCCCAGCATGAGCGCGCTGTGCGCGTCGCCGCGCCGCCGCTGGAACTCGAGCATCTCCCGCAGCGGGAACTCGGAGCACACGTCGGCGTTGAGCACGAAGAAAGCCTCGGGGCCCCCGGACAGGATCTGGTCCCGAAAGTGGTAGATGCCGCCGCCCGTGCCCAGCGCCGCGTACTCCTGCAGGTACCTGCGGGCGGGAGCCGCTGCCGAGGGCGCCCGGGACCCCGCGGGCGGGCGGATGGGTGTCCATGCACCCACCTGATGGGGATCCTGAACTCCTGCTGCGCCGACACCAGGAAGCGGCTGAGCGCCTCGTGCGGCTGGTAGAAGCCCATGAGCAGGATCTCCTTCATGCCGGGCACCTGCGGGCGGCGGGCAGCACTGGCACCACCGGTACCACCGGCACCGGCGCTACCGGCACCACGGGTACCGGCGCCCGCCCCCGCGCCGCCTACCTTGGCGCACGCCTCGATGTGGTGCTGCACCATGGGCACGCCGGCCACCGGGAAGAGCGGCTTGGGCACCTCGAAGGAGAGCGGCCGGAAGCGGGTCCCTGCGGAGAGCGGCGCTGAGCGCGCGGCGGCGCGGGGCGGGCGCTCAGCGCCGGGAGCCCTTACCCTTCTGGGGGCCGCCGATGAGGATGACGGCCTTCAGCATGGCGCCGTGCCCGCTCCGCTCCGGTTCCGCTCCGCTCCGGTTCCGCTCCGCTCCGGTTCGGTTCCGCTCCGCTCCGGTTCGGCTCGGCCCGCTGCGCCGCGGGGCTGCGCCCGCCCCGGCCCCGCCCCCGAGCACTTCCGCACACGTGTCCCGACACGTCAGCGCGCGGGGCGCCGGGGCGGGAGCGCCCTGACGTCACTCCAGGGGGCGGAGCTTCTGACTCCTCCTCCTTCCCCCCTCCTCTTTCCCCCTCCCTCTCTTCTCCCTCTCTCCCCCCTCCCTCTCTTCTCCCTCTCTCCCCCCTCCCTCTCTCCCTCTGTCTCTCGCTCCGTTTCTCCCTTCCTTTTTCCCTCTTTCTCTCTCTCCCTCCCTCTCTCCCTCCCTCCCCTTCTCTCTCTTCGCCTTCTCCCTCCACTCCCTCTCTCTCTCCCCCGCCTTTCTCTCTCCTCCCTTTTCCCCCCTCTCCCCACCTCTGCACCCCACGCATGGTGGAGGCGCACTCAGGACCCTCCTCCCCCGCTCCCTGCACCTCTGCGGGGCACCCTCCCCTGCGGGGCACCCGTGGGCCCCGGTCCCGCGCGGTGCCCCACGAGCGGCGGCGCCTCCCCGCGCGCCCCGTCGCTGCCAAGGAGGGCTCCGAGACGCGGGCGGCTGCTCGGGGCTTTTATTGCTGCTCGGCGCGGGGCGCGCCCCGAGCCGCGGGGCAGAGCGGAGCCCGGCGGAGAGGAGCGGGGCGCGGGACGGGCCGGCGGCGGCGCGGCCGCCTCCTCGCCGGAGTCCATGAACGAAGCCGCAGCAGCCGCCGTCGGGGCCCCG